CACTAAATTTTGACATATAAATTGTCTTGGTACAAAATAAGGGGGGGCCAACGACACGCACCTCCATGTAACCTGAAATTTTGAGAATAAACTGAAACAAAATGCAATAAATCTATGTTTGTTGTAACTCAATCACCGTGAAAACGTGTAAATCTTATTTTCTTACCAAGATACATAATCTCAACAGGTTTGAAGAAATTTTAATCAAAAATAATGATAACCTCCATACAAATTTTTCGATTTTTGGCCAAAAAACGAAAATTTCGTATGGGAGGTACCCCCAATTTGTATTGAAACTTCTTCAAACTTCGAGGATGTTATTTTTTTGTCCAAAAAATAGCCTGTGCAAAGTTTTACATCATTACGATACCATAAAAGTATGGCTCCCATACAAAAATGCAATTTTTTTATAATTTTTTCAAAGAAACTCTGTTAAAACTTGATTGTATCTTAAAACTAACGTCGTTTTCGGATTCCTCGTGCCAAAAAACCCCCCAATACGTGTTTTTTTAAAGCAGAAAAAACATTTTTTTTTTGACATTAAATTGGCTCCAAATCGCTCCAAATTCGTTAATCGAGAAAACTTCCAAGTGTCCTATTGAGTACCACCGATCGACATTTAGATGAAACAATGATGCCACATATCTTATATTTTCATGTATTTCACGAAACCGAGTGGGGCATTTTGATCCGATATAACTTTTTTTTTTGGGCTGGTCTACTGTCATAGTTATTTTAAGTCTCTATGTTCCATTTAGCATAATTCGATGATATCCACGATCTTATTAGCGCACGTTGATCCATAAATTTCCTTCCTTTCCATAGAAATCTGTCAAAATATAAGAATTCTGTTCATCACAAATAAATCCATTTCTGTCTTTTTCAATGCTTTATGCATGAAAATTATCATTTCGAGCATTTAAATGTTTTTCTTCTTTAAATTATGTTGAATAGCGACAAATCAAACAACTACTAAAGTTCTGCTATGATCTTAATTATCAGATTTCACTATAATCAGGATTATTGCGGTCTTATAAATAACAATAAAAATAATTCATTGACAATTGTGCTACCTGCTTCATTTGCAAGTACATTTATTTTCAAATTCTATTACACATTGAAATAGAAACCTGGAATTCTGATTGAAACCCACTGAAAAATGTAATTAATTGCTTGATTCTGGTAATTTTTTAAATTTTCTTCTCTTTTCTTCCTCTATTTCTGCCAAAATTTCCTCCTGACGTTCCATTTCTGCCATCGCCTGCATCGTATTGGTACCACAGACACAAGGGCTGGTTGCTACCTTTTTACCCAGAACAGCAGCATGTTTGCCTGCGTCAATCCCATGCTCACCTGTTTTTACTGCGCTGCCTAACAAGTGGCGAGCTGCTCTGCCCGCCATATCCATACCTTCGTCTGGTAAACCAACCACTGTCCACACAGGACAAAGTCCACAGGCAAGACCTGTGCCAACAGCATGTACACCTGTAACGATCCCATGGCCCGCTGTGGTCACCACACTTTTTCCAAATTTGACACTTGTATTACGAATTCCCTTGGCAGTTTCCATTCCACCCTGTTTCATAGCTTTACCAACTTTTTTGAACTTTTCTATGTTCAGACAAGAAGTTAAAAAAGATCCATTATCAGTGTATATTTATGAAACTATCTTATAAATGATTTTAATTGAATTTCTAAGAATACTTACCACCAGGTCCAGCATTTGCGCATGGAACTAGGAGCTGTGAAATAGATGAAAGTGAGAAAAAATTATGAATTCAGACTTAAGTCTTTGATCGACATTCAGAAAATTACCTCCAAACTTATAACAGTAATGAATAATATACAGAGAAATATTCGATTCATTTTGTTCACACAGGTTCTCAAAATTATCTGGTGATTTGCATGAAATTACTCCAGTTTATATACATTTTGAAAACAGACAACATATTGAAAAAAACAGAATTTCATATATACGTGTTTTTGAACATTTTTCTATTGTTATAGCGATATCTTAATTTGTAAACATTTATTCGATGGCAAATACAAAACAACTAAAAAAAATATGTGTGCTTCACTCGAAAATTCGGTGACGTCAATAAATAAGTACAAAACAATTCGCTGGAAGTTCCTACTGTGACGCAATACTAAATTTTAAAAAAATTTGATATACATTTTCAGTGACGCTTTCGTTCATTTAAGACAAAATGTTAATATTGCATCTAAGATTAAATTTTTAGCGGTATTGGTTAGTCAGCTTGAAAAGGCGAAAAATCGACAGTCATTTTGTTACCTCAATCTTCTTCTACAAACGCAATTCAAATTCTGACTTTTTGAAATGAGAAATTCTTTTTGGAGAATGGAGGTTGCGAGGAGTTTTTGAGCAATATTTGTAAGTTTAGGGCCAACGGTATACATAGATCAATAATAATTTTCAAATTAGAGTTCAAAAAATTGTTTTGGTCAGACAATCGAAATGTGTACAAAATATACTCTATTGATAGGCACTATTATTATATTATCAATACAGCGAACTCTGAAACATTAACAAACATTAAAAAAAAAAAATATATATTTATTTATTCATTGGGAGTTATTACTTTCTGTAATAATTGTACTTCTTTCAAACACATTTGAATTTGACACTTCGATAACAGGTTTTGTATTGTCATACATTCATCAAATTACAGAACACTTAAAAGTTATTATCGTTTACTTCATTGAAGAACTTACTGACATCAATAGACGAATGTTTCAGAAATAATATAAAAACAACAAATTCCATTTTTATTCGTATCGCAATTGTTTGTGAGAAAATCCACGTATAGTGATAACCTCTACATCTGTTATCTGTACGATTATTTCACTGTCATAGTTATTTTATGTCTCTATGTTCCATTTAGCATAATTCGATAATATCCACGATCTTATTAGCGCACGTTGATCCATAAATTTCCTTTCTTTCCATAGAAATCTGTCAAAATATAAGAATTCTGTTCATGACAAATAAATCCTTTTCTGTCTTTTTCAATGCTTTATGCATGAAAATTATCATTTCGAGCATTCAAATGTTTTTCTTCTTCAAATTATGTTGAATAGCGACAAATCAAACAACTACTAAACTTCTGCTATGATCTAAATTACCAGATTTCACTATAATCAGGATTATTGCGGTCTTATAAATAACAATAAAAATAATTCATTGAAAATTGTGCTACCCTATTCATTTGCAAGTACATTTATTTTCAAATTGTGTTACACATTGAAAGAGAAATCTGGAATTCTGATTGAAACCCACTGAAAAATGTAATTAATTGCTTGATTCTGGTAGTTCCTTTAATTTTCTCCGTTTTTCTTCCTCTACCCATTCCGCAAATTCTTCTTGGGTTTCGATTTCTGCCATTTCCCTCAGCGTATTTTTGCCACAGACACAAGGGCTAGTTGCTATCTTTTTACCTAAGACACCAGCATTTTTACCTACGTCAATTCCACCTTTCACAGTACCAACCACTTGTCTTCCTAAATAGCGAGATGAGTCTTCAACCATTTGAATACCTTCCTCAGGTGCGCAGCCCAAACACATAATAGGACAAGATCCTATCGAAACACTTGTGCCAAGAGCCCCAACACCCACGCCGATCCCATGGCCTGCCGTTTTTACCAAACTGCCTCCCAATTTAAGAGTTGATTTACCGATTCCTTTGGCAGTTTCCATAGCACCTTTGCTCGCAGATCTACTGATTTTTTTGAGTTTTTCTTGGTTTACACAAAGAAAAAATATATAAAATAAGTCCATTGTCAGTATATACTTCTGAAGCTGTGCTATAAATGATTTTAATTGAATTTCCGACAATACTTACTATTCATGCCAGCATTTGCGCATGGAACTAGGAACTGTGGAATAGAATGGAAGTGAAAAAAATAAAACTTTAAACTAAAATCGAAGTTTAGAAAATTACCTCCAAACTTATAATTGCAAAGAAAAATAGGCAGAGAAGTTTTCGATTCATCTTGTTTTCATGGATTTTCACAATTAACTGATGATCATGTGATAATGACTATGATTGCTACATTTACCAAATTACAAACCGTTTAGAAGTAATTATCGAAAAACAGACTGCCAGAAAATATCTTAATATAATATCTGTCAAAAACATTTGTTTTCTTCATTTAAGACTTCAATAAATGAATGACTATGACCTCAATAAATGAATGTTGTAGAAATAATAAAAAAACAAGAAATTCCATTATTATATCGCAATTATTTGTAAAAAGAACCACGTATAGGGAAGAACTCTGAATTTTTTTTATCTCATATATATATGATGTATACATGTATGATTATTTCAATGCCAGTGAACATTTGAATAAAAAAATTTAATTAAATAAAAGTACCAATGGTGTTTCGCCAATTTGTTTGCCACATTTATTTTCAAATTCTGTTACACATTGAAAGAGAAACATGAAATTCTGATTAAAAATCACAGTTTAAAAATTTTCTCCGTTTTTCTTCCGCTAATGCTTCCAGAATTTCCTCTTGAGATTCGATTTCTGCCATCTCTCTCAGCGTATTTTTGCCAAAGACACAAGGAATGCTTGCACAGAAAGAAAATATCAGCCGACGCTATACGCAAAACCGACTGGTACGTGCGCTCATACGTTTTTACATCTTTTACATCATTTTTCGACTGTGCGAAGATACGCACAAAGAGTAACGAATCAGTCGAAAAATCGTATGGTCACTAGATGTAAAAGATTCAAAAACGTATGAGCGCACGTACCAGTCGGTTTTGCGTATAGCGTCGGCTGATATTTTCTTACTGTGTGCTACCTTTTTACCCAAGACACCAACACTTCAACCCATGGCCTGGAAATGCCTATGTAATTTACATATGAACGAGTGAGACTCAAACATGTGCTTCTTCTTCAAAACAATACATACACACTAACTCATAAACATTAAACGTATACGCCATAACAGCAGTGCAAACACAAATAGATGCGCGCGCTTCTCAGCTTCGTTTCAGTGATGAATACTTATTGACTTCTGCTGTATATGTGATGCTTGTGTATGTATTGAATAAGAAGCACATGTTTGAGTCTCACACATCTGCGCCCCTTGCTTTTTCCTACATCTATGCCACCTTTCACCGTACCCACCACTTGTCTTCCTAAGAAGCGAGACGTGCCTTCAACCATTTGAATACCTTTGCCGGTTGAGCAGTCACAAATGAGCATGGGACAACATCCTATCGAAAGACATGTGGCAACAGTCCCAAGACCCACGCCGGCCCCATGTTTTCCCGTTTTTAACATACTGCCTCCTAGTTTGCGACCTGCCTTATCAATTTCCTTAGCAGTTTCCATACTACCCTTGGCCGCAGCTTATATACTATGGCATTGAATTAAAAATGAGTTTAGATTGAATTTCCAAGAATACTTACTACTAGTGCTGTGAAATAAAATAAAAGTTTAAACTAAAATCGATGTTCAGAAAATTACCTCCAAACTGATAAGTGCAAAGAAATATAGGCATAGAAGTTTTCGATTCATCTTGTAGTCACAGGCTTCCACAATTAACTGATGATTTACTCCATACGACTACGATTAATACACATTTTTAAGCAGGCGCATTACTACATTGCGCGAAGAACTATTTGAACAATTTTATTGCTTGATGTAAAGCTTTGAAATCGTATCATTAGGTTTAGAGTAGTTTTACACATTAATCATAGTACCTGTACAACTTTCCTTCTTCGTCTTCAGCACTTATAGAAGTATACATTAAGAACTACTACCAAAGTTACTTGTTGTTTTTATTAAATAGAATTCATAATTCTTAATTGTTTTTACCAATTTTTGTTTCAATGCTACAAACGTTGTTTGTAAGCAGAAAGAATTTGCACACATTTTTCACTTATTTAATCAAGTTGTTATTGGTGAAAATATGTAGACTAATTAATTTTGCTCTCATTTCGTGTTTTAAAATTGAATTAATAGATGTCAAAATCATCCATGTATCGATATTCCTGAATTTCAATGATCAAGAGCTCTGCAATATTCATTCAACGCCTTTTATTACGATGTGATACACAAATTTGATGACGTCACGATGAATTTCAAGAAATTGAAATGGTTTTTCTTCAATCGAAAACATGCTCTTTTCAGCAGAGTGATGATAACATACAATATGTTTCATTAATAATTGCCAATCGATGCACATCAATGAGATAAGCCTCTTGGAATGTCTTTATATTTGAGAGCCTGAAACCCAAAACAAGTTATAAAAATTCTTTTCGGAAAAAAAGCATAAGAATGTGTTTTAAATGAAAAATACGATAGAAAAAAACTGAGAGTTAAAAGAGCATATACAGAACTGAGAACTAAAACAGAATATAATTTCAGTTAGCGACAAAACAAACAAGCGATATGTTATATTTTAACTCTCAGTTTTTATTCTTCTCATTTTTGCTCTGAAAGTAAATATGTTTTTATTTGACTCCGAAAAATATTATATTTAGCTTTCGTCACAATGCGTTGCATTTTTGCTCTTTCATGTAATATGACACGAGATTAACTTAGTGAATTGTTTGTCAACATTCTCTCTTTCAAAAATGATTTGGATACAACGAGGCATCTTTTCACTTTCGCCGTTTTAATGTGTGATCGAAGGAACAGCGTTTTTTACTCCAGTTTGATTTTGAATAGTACGAATTGAAAATCAGTTTTTGTTGGAGCACATCAATTTTGGTGCAGTACTTTCCCGAACTCGTACAGATTGATAGCACATTGAACACTTTTTCAGCAATTTGTCTATTGCCTTTTGTTGTATGCGCCATTACAATATTCTTTTGCGATATTTTTTATACAAAAGCGGTCTACGTACACGTTTTTTCGATCGTTCAGTAGATATTCACTAGCCTATTTATCTAATAATAATGTGAACTGAAAAACAATGATTTGAATTTCAAATTTTGAATTAAGAAATCGACAAATAGTTTTGTCAATGCAGATCAATTAAAAAAAAAAAATAAGATTTTACAGATACGCATAATACACAACATGAAATTCGGTGCGAATACGACCAGCATATTTGTATATCTTCGGTGTGTTAGCGAATAACGGTAAATTGCTGTTGGATTTACACTGGTCAATGCATAAATATAGGAACCACAGTAACTCATCGTGTCGCAGTAGCGACGTGAAATTAGAGCATTTGTTTTTGTTTATTTTATTGCTTTGTAAACAAATTCTTCTATTACATTTTGTTCTATACGAATCCAAATAAAATGTTTTTGACGAAAAGCAAATATAATATTTATCGGTGCCAAATAAACACAAATACATTTTCAGTGCTAAAATGAGAAGAATAAAAACTGAGAGTTAAAATACAACATACGGAATTGAGAGTAAAAACAGCAAATCGATATATGCTACTTTTACTCTCAGTATTCTATGTGTTGTTTTAACTCTCAGTTTTCTATATTCTCGTTTTGCGCTCAATAATTTCTTATGCTCTTTTTCCGAAAAGAATTTTTATAATTTGTTTTGGGTTTCAGGCTCTCATTTGTGGATCGATGTTTCTAATCTTATCCAAGTGGAAAGATTAGAAATGATATTCAATTTGAAGAATTGACAACATCCAACAACTTTCTATTCAAGAAAATATTGGCCCAACTTTTTAGAATCAACATGTTCGTATATACCATTTATTTTCATGCAATTATACTCTATATTTTGTCTTTAAAATTCTTAAGAACTAGATAATTTTTCGAAATATTTATCCTTGAAATCGATCAAAAACCATGCTAATACCTTGCGGTCGTTCACCACTTGGTCCAACATTTGTTCGATCCACGAAACTTTGTTCAGTACATTGTTGCGAAAAATCGACTCTTTCATTCTCCTCTTCACTCTCATTCTCACTTTCATCAATTTGAGTTAATATTGGTACCCAAATTTGCGAATGATTCTTTGATTGTTCCAATTTCACGCGCAATTCGTCGATTTTAAATCTCAAATTTTTCATAATGAACGGAATCAAATTTTGGACATTACCAGAGTTTTTTACTGCACATTGGTGTCGATCGTCTTTGGGCAACTGCAATTTATAAACGGTACCACAGATATTCACCCAATGTGTTTCTTGTGGTATTTCTAGGCCGAATTGGTCCAAAATTCGGTTACCCAACCGCATACCTGTTGGTGACAAAGAAATCTGGTAATTATTATATTATTCTTGAAAAAAAGCATTCGAAAGAATCTACAGGAAACCTACCTTTCATACGATTTACTTCAAGAATAAAAAAAGCACCTATAAATCCAATTAAATAGCCAGGTAAATCGGCCAACAAAAACCCAATGAGACCTGCACCGATACAAATTGATGCATTCAGGAACTTAATTGATTTTATACCTGTTCAAAGACACAATTGGGGTATTTTAATTTTTTTTTTGGGCTTTTTACATAAAAAAGCACGACGAAGACAAATCTGTCGAAAATCGAATTTTTAAATTTGAAAATCGACTTCATATACGAATCAGGCAATACAATTTGTTGTTGTATAAAAGTGAAAATAATTCGCAACTTTTTACCAAAATCTATAGAATTTTCGAATTTTTCTTACGTATTTCAAGAATAAAAGCTGCAAATAACGTTCCGAATGCAAATCCAATCATATCGCCCAACAGAAAACCGATAAAACCTGCACAAATACAAAATGACAATCTCATGAACGCCGCTGTTTTCACAATTGCTATCAACTTTTCATTTAGTTTCAAGCTTTCGATGTACAACGAACATCTTTTGACGTAACTCAATGATTTCGCCACATCCAATGACTTTCGTGCATATTGTTGCATTGATGCGTATTTCCCATCTAGATTGACGATGGCAGTTTTACTGAAAACTGCCAATGATTTACTTGCACATGAAATTAGATCAAGCAAAGTCCGTTCATTTTGATTTTCAAACATATCTGGAAGAACAATGGACAAAAATTTGTTGTTAGATTACAACTTACTGCATTTTTGTTTATTTCATGTCAAGAATGAACAAGGAAAATGAACAATTCTCATGAATTGAATGAAAAATGAATAATTTCCCTTATTTTTCAATTATTTGTTTATTTTAATTTTTTTTGACATGGATTTCTATTGAGATATTTTTCGGATCATTAAATGTCTGTTATGTTCGAATTCGAAAGTTTCAGCAGTTTCGATAGCAGGATGGATCTTTATATTCTGGGGACCAACTGTACTGGTTTGTATAACACTGATCATTTGTATAACATGGATCTGAATAATACTGTGGCTTTGGTTTGGGTGCTGGACAATTAAGGCTCTCCAAATAGCGTTTTAAATGATTATTGTCTTGTTCTGGATCTTCTTGGTATGCAGAATGATGGTTTGTATAACATGGATCTGAATAATCTGGACTACACTCATTTGCGCTACATTGATCTGGATAACATTGGTCTGCATAAGACTGGTCATTTTTCTTGTAAAAGTTATCGTTGAAATTGCTAGTATATTTCGGTGTTGGTCCGCACATACTTTGATTCATCGAATAATTTTGCCAACGTGTTTGAATGTCATCACTTTTATAAAAATTTTCGATAAAATCGTTACAATTTGGTGAGATTTTTGCACAAATTGGGTTCATAGTGACAGAAGAAGATGTTCCATCTATATTGCCAAATGAATTTCAATGAGAAATACGGGAAAATATTTGAAAGAAATTTTAATTTACCGGTTTCCATCATTTCCAATCCTATAACAATAATTAACCCAATTAAACCGCCCACGGCCGCACCCCATGGACCCAAAATCGATCCAATCATACTGAATATCGCACAGTATTTTCCATAGTCCCAAGCGTCAAATACAGCCGATTTTGAAAATGATGATCCCATTTTTCTTTTGACCGATAATATTAATTTGTTTTTGTATATTGGTAAGAATACCGATAAATCAACTGAACTGATTCAAATTTAACGAATAGTTTTAATTCTTTATCACCTTTGCTTCTGAAATGTTTCACTAAAATGAAACCTTTCACTTCAATTGGTTACTATGACATTTAATTGACGCATCAGAAAATTGATGACACATTTCTTTTGATCTAAGGGTGCTTTAAATGTACAATGCCTTTGTATAAGTCAGAAATATGAAATCATTAATGAAATTTCCCTCATAAATATGAGACTGCAATGCATGCGGAGCAATGTTTTGCGCTTATTTTACAAAGAAAAGTGCATTTGAACCAAAGAGTCCAGATTTCGAGTCGTCTTTTAAAGAAATCTTCTTTTTATCATCGATTTTTTCAAAGATGCCCCTTGTTCGTCTAGTGATTTAACTACTTTCTCCAACTATCAAATCTATTTCCATGCTCTTCAAAATAAATACTATCAAATGTAAAATCGTTCATGTGAAGAGTTGCTTTAATTTTGGGGACACCTTTGGGCATCTTTTCACCATAGCCTCTGTTGATGAAAAAAAAAATCGTCTTACTGTTTCTCATCGCTTCCGATTCCATCATCGACAATTCCCGAACAAAGTCACCAGCGACTCCAAAAGAATTTTTTCTAAGAAAACACTAAAAATGTATCTATTCAATTGATTAAAATGTAACTATTTGTTTAGTCCACCGTTGATTATTCAATGTTTTACTCAAATAAAATCTTTCATTTCAACTGGCTACTGTGCATTTATTGTTTGAATAAGTGGTGACACATTTGTGATAAGACATAAGTATGCATCGGATTGAAATTGATTTCATGTCAATGTGTGATCGAAAGAATGGCTTTTGGGACAAAATATTTCACGACATATCTTATGTAAGTATGGTATAATTCAGTCAAAATGCAGCACTGTAAAGTCCACGTTCAATATCCAAATTGACGTTTGTAAAATATAGCCAACAATAAAAGTGAATAATTAAAAACGATGTTTTACTTATTCCGTACATTTTACTTCATAACTGTATTACATATTCTACATCTTTTTTCCCAATTTAGACCTACCACATAGTCTGATTCTTCTTCCGATGATTCCTTCTGTGTAATCATTGGATTTTTAAGGATTCCTCTAACACTTCTGGGTTCCCTTTTGTGTTCGTTTTCTTCATTTTTATTTTCTTTCGCTATAAACGTTGTTGAGTATTAAAATGAATTCAAATTGAAAAATATATTTAAAAAAGATCGATTACCATTTTGTAACATCCGTTCAGCCATTGCGGCTAAACCACCAACGACTGCCCCCGCCGCCTGTAAATTTCGAAATGTTACGAAATCAATGTGCATATTTTGTATGAAAGGTAAGAGATAAGTTTACCATGCCAATTGGACCGCCAAACAAACCTCCAACAAAACTGAATACCGCACACGTTTGACCATGCTTCAAAGCGTCTGTAATCCCAATTCTTGAAAACCACGACATGAGTAATGATTTTAAATTACTTTGAATTGATTATAATTTGACGACCTATTTTGTGCCTTTAACGTTGACTCTACAATTTACAATACATTTTCACTTCAAATGGCTACTATTTATGTGCAGCTTTTGGTGACACATTCAATATTAAGACTAAAGTTGATTTAAATCTGACATATTGAGATAGTTTCAGCCAGCCGAACTACGGGGAATGAAAGTTTGCTTTCATGTATGGGGAGATCAAAGATCTACACGTCCATCTAAACACACTTGCCAATCGAAAAATGTGAAAAGCAAAAAAGGCCATAGCTTTCTCGTCAAATCCACTTTTTTTCGTATACCTGGTCATTTTAGGACGGAATTTCTGCTCACCAATGGAAGGAAAGAGACGTTAAAATAGATTCGCTCCTGTTCTTCTATCTAATTCTAGACTTTGAAAAAAAACCTCTTTCATTCTCATACAAATGGCAGCAAGTATGAATCGTAGTCGCTTCTTTCAATGGTCATACAGAGATTCGTTAACTTTTATGAGCAAGTACAAATGCTGCACCAACTCTAGCTCTAAAAATAAATTCTGAGAAAAAACACTGCCGATTTTTGGTATTTAACATTTTACTTTTCATTTCAATCGTATTTTCATTGTTTTATTTTTCTTCCATTAATACACTGATTTCTATTCGATTTTACCCTCTGTTTTAAATGTCACTTTTTTGCTTGTCGTGGGCACATTTTCATTTTCACTTTCTATAAGCAAAAGAAATATCGGTCAAAAAGACGACCAAATGTAACGAATATCAATTTTACCATGTTTTAACATTTCCGATGCCATAGCCAGAACTCCACCTGAGAATATTTAAATTCATTTTGAATATTTGAATTACCTAAAATACGAATTAAAGAAATCATTACAAACCTAAAACTCCACCCACTGCAAATCCTGTACAAATAAAAGAAAAAAATAGTTATAATGCTAAAAATGATTAAATTTGGTATCGGTATCCATACCGATTGGACCTTCGAACAGAGCTCCGATAAAGCTGAATATCGCACAAGCTACCGCATGCCTCAAAGCATCGGAATAACTCATTTTCGAAAACCATCCCATTGTTACAAAATATTTATTTAACAAAACACCGCAAATTTAACTGGACTGATCAAAATACAACCGTTTTTGTTTTCAGTGTTGACTTTACTAAATTGAGCTTTTTGAATTCAAATGGCTACTAGTATGGCTACTAATATGGCAAAAAAATTGCTGACACAATTAAGTAAATTCGTATTGAAAGTTCGTCATAAAGATCCAAGTGTGTCTTGAATGTGGATTGTGTCATTGTGTTTTACATGTAGTGGTGCTATTATTGCAATAGCAATAGCATGCAAATAGATCACATTGCCATCACGGCATAGTGTATAATCACAGTGAAAATGTAACCTTTTTTCTTGAATAGTACTTCTTCTCAGCCATGAAGAATAGAAAGTTTCGATTCGATAAAAATTGACTCTAATACCTTTGACATGTCCTCCAGAGCTTTCAAAAAAAAAACATCGCAATGCATTCGGTACGCGACTGTCATGCCAGTCGAAGCATTCAATGCATCGGAATTGATTTCCCCGAGCAAGTTACCGTATGTATCAACAGTGTAGCCAATGCGAAAAATATGCCCTTACCTCATTCTATTTGTGTAATAAATGTATATCGTTCTTATTTTAATGTGTATATTTTCATTTCATCATAACAATAACTTTTACAAAAGCATCTTCGTCCTTCACCTCCTATCAATATTTTCCTAATTTTCACCAAACTTGATTTTTACATCTATATTTTTGCATTTTACGCCTTTTGTTGTCTATGTTCATGAACTGAAGCCAAGAAAGAATGAATTAAAAACCGACAACAATGATAGGAACTGCATGTTACCTTCTTGCACGATTTCCTTCACAGTCGCACTAACAACAGCGACTCCAAGAGCGATTCCACCCCAGAAAGGACCACCGAGAGCCAATCCACCAATCGAGAGTGGCAAGGTATAGTGCCAATTTTTAAAGAAATTGTTTGTCACCAGTTCTTGTACTTGTACTCTTGCTTTTAAGTTTTCAATAATGAATTCAAACATAATGCCAAATTTAAACGATAAAATTAACTGAATCAAAATTTTATTGTACGTCTTATTTTCCTCTTCGTTGCTTTCAAAATGTTTTGATAAAATGACACTATTTTTCACATTTTTCAAATGGTTGCTTTATTTTTCGAACAATTGGTGACACGTTGCTTATATGAATCTAAAACTGATTTGAGGTAATTCAATGAGAAAAAGACACGAATTGTTTATATACACTTTCGTCTTCTTATTCCAATTGTTTTGAATCAGTTTGAACGTCTTTGAGTTCTTGGTGAAGACTTCCCTCTTCCATTGATACCTCATATTCGGTCGTTCTGTCAATTGACCGATTCATGTTTACCATTCTACTACGTACAATGTTAACCATTTCGATAGCTATGAATTCGCTGAGTATTGCCGAAACTGCCGCCCATCGGGAAGAACTGGTTAGTAGACCGACAATAAAACTAATGAAATTTGCAATTGCCAGATGTAAATGTATGAAAATTGGACTGTTCTCCATATCGTTTCTATTCTTTTCACTTCCAGTAAGTGGCCTTACGATTCCAACCTTTTCAGCTAACCAACGAATGTTCCCTAAATATATTATAAACAATTTATAGTACGCAGAATTTTCAATAAAATGAAACACAAATTTGTTTAACTTTTCCATTTTTTTCTTATTACAACTTAATTTATATCTAACATTCAAGTTAGATTACGAAAAATTTTAATTTCACTCGGATAATATTGTGAATTTGACTCGCTCGTTTGATTTTATTACAATAAATCTTCATATATGAAGCAAATGTATACTGCGCCTGCTTTAAAAAACGCATTCAAACTTTTTTTGGTGCGTATACGAATGATTTTTATGTGGATTTAATTTGGCCAAATAAAGTCAATTCAAAATCGACGAGTAGAGCCAAAGGGACTTTTTTTATTGATGACCATTCATAACCAATATAGTGTGTGATTGTTTTTTTTTAACCCAAAACCAATGAGTTCTCGCGTGATATGAACCAGGATTCCATAGGAGATTGATCCGTTGACTATTTTTCACTAAAAATCACATCGAAATCAATTGATTATTTGGAAAATTGTGTGTTTTGCATGAAAACTCTTTCTATACTCTTTCCCACCTCTGCTTCTCCCTCCCTTCTCTTTTTCCGTCTCCCTATTTCGCTCCCCCTCTCTCTTTCTATCGTTCAGTATCTCTCTCTCTCTTTCTTTCTCTCTCTCCACCTCACCCTTCTATCACACACCATTGGCCAATGAAAATGAACGGTAATATAAGATACTTTATGATTATTTGCTATGTGGAAAGAAAAATAAAAACAATGAAATAACCGGTTGCGTTTAAGGCGGAAAGAAAACAACTAGTGGCAGAGAGCACTCACCATTCACCAAACAAATTACAATGTAGATGTATGAAGCTCGCATGTGATGTCAAAAATACAATCGTTTGTATTTGTGCGTTAAC